TTATAGGAATTCATAAAACAACTAATTTTTAATGCATTTGTCTTTAAGAAAAGATGCGTTTTATACAGATTTTTGGTAAATATTTTCATGTCTTTCGTAACTCTTTTCTAATGAAAAATAAGGGCAAAAGTGTTTATATATTTATATATAATATATATTATTATATAATTATCTGAGAGTTTGTTATTTTTGATGCATTTGTGGCAAAGATTTGAAGTTTAAATTTTGGTCTGAATGTAATCCATACGTGTGTTGAATCATAAACACAAATCAAATCAAATCACTGAAAAACAATTTGAAATATAAATTGAATTAAAAAATCAAATTTAATTTTGTTGTTTGCGTTAAGACTGATCTCTGGAGACAATTAGAGAGAAAATTGTCATAAGTTTGTCGAAATGATTGCATAGAAATGATGTCAAATACAGTCCAACGACTACTTAATTAATAAAACATTTGTTGTTGTGATGAATGTTAAGATGAATTCAATTGAAAGTCATTTAAACCCGAAAATGTCATTCAATTTGTGGTGTGTTTGAGAGTCAATTAAAATGAGTTTTCATATACAGTAGAGTCGTATATATAATATCATTATATCATATAATTTACAACTTATGTAATAATTGGACCAAAAATTAATATGCATTTGAATCGAATGGCAGTTAATAGATGTCTAATAAATTCACTTTTAGTTTGTTTTGTCATAACTGGTATTCAAATGATTAATATTATTGTTATATTTAAAAAACAAATCAATTTTCATATGAAAAGAGTGAGAGTTTGTGTGCAATCGATGTCTTTGACTTCGAATCAATTGATTATTTACAGCAATTGAATGGCATTTAAATGATAAGTAAAATAACAAATTCTTCACTCGTCCTACACTTCATTGCAATTAATAAATCTTTGCTTTCATTTTCAATCGAATAATAGTCTTAATAATAGTCTTAATAATAGTCTTAATAATAATTATAATAATAATAATAATAATATTCTTATCTTCAGATTTGTTAGAATGGAAGGAATGTTGATATCAATGAGAAAAATGAATAAATGTTTAATTTGAAAATCAATTGAAAACATAAAACACAAACAGTTTTGTGTGTTTTGAGTGAATAATATTGAAAACTAAACTAAACTAAACTATTGATACATTTGTGTTAAAAATCACTTATTATTCGATCGAAAACTATCTAATAATTTGCTGAACAAAGTGCTGACCGGTAGTCGAAGGGGTCGGCGCTTGACATAATAGTTGCCGGAATCACAGAATCAAAGAGTTGAACAATTGGTGAACACTTATAGTCGTTAAAAATGTTCACTTAATATATAATAATCTCTGAATTTGACGAAATTAAAACTAAACATTTGTCGCAATTTGTAACTTATGTTGTGGACAGTAATCACGCGCCGGGCTTTAGTGCGCCCGTAATAGTGACCGTCACTTTGCGACTGCCGGCGCGGTTGCGGTGTTCACAGAGCCAG